CTGAGAAGATGCAAAGTCAAACTTGAGAGACAACCACACACTCTCTCACACACACACACACACACACACACACACGCCAGAAGGCCCCAAGAGCTGGCTCAGAGGTTAAGAGTACTTGCTGCTCTTGTAAAGGACCCAAGTTCAGTTCCCAGCTCCCACATCAGGTGGTAGGTGGTTTCCAACTTCTTGGAACTCCAATTTCAGGGTATCTGATACCCTCTTCTGGCCTCCATAGCCTCCTGCATGCACACATACAATAGATCTTTAAAAGGAAAGAGAAAGTAAGCCAAGAAGAATGAAAACAGAAGGTGCTGTTTTTGCTGCCAGGGTGAGAGCATCACTATTTCTCCATTCCTTCTTTGGTTTTCCCCAACTGGGAGGATTTGATATAACAAATTCCACCCTCAAATATGCAGCCTCCCATTAGAGCAGATCTTTTTTAAAAAGCACATAGAAATAGAGAATCCCCAGAAGTCTCTTTGGCTGATACATTCCTATGAAATGGCTTTATGCTTAGAACTGCATTTCCCTCTTTTCTTTCGAGGACCTGAATGCTACTCTGAATACTACTGTTAGATTTTAAGATGCAACATGAAGTGGCCAGAAGAAATCTAATATATAATCATCAGCTACAACAGGGACTCACTTCAAGAGTCAGATGGTGAGGGAAAAAACTCAAAATTCATTCAGGATTTACAGTATACAGTTTTTCCTGAGTATCAGACACAGACTGGGAAGGTTATTTTTAGTTGAAGCTAAAAGCTTTTAAAAAGCCAACCTTCATCTTTTCCTTTTATGGCTGGGACTGCTGCTGCCCTTGCGTGGTTTCTGACAAGTGTTACGTGAGTACTTTGCATGAAGACATATGGAAACAAGTGCACCTATCTACAGCATGCTATCACCCCCCCACACACACTTCTTCCCTAGCCCGAAGTCAGAGACTCCAAACTTTGTATTTGATTAAAAGACTTTGGATGCTTTAGAAACCACCCCTGCAACCAGCCACCACTTTTATCTAGTGGATGAAAATAGCTGAGAAAAAGCAGAGGCCACTGGGTAGTCATCCTTTCTTTCCTTTCTGTGGATGCAGGTACACACACGTGTTTATGGAAGCCAGAGGACAACTTCAGATGTCACTCCTCAAGTGTCACTGCCCCCAACTTGGGTTTTTCTGGGACTGGGTCTTTTAATAAGCCTGGAACTTGCCCTGTAGGCTAGCTAGGCAGGCCGGCCAGGCAGCCACTTGTCTCCACTTCTTCCAGGGCTGGGATTACAGGTGCATGCAACCTTGCTCAGATTTTTTGCATAAGTTATGGGGATCCAGTTCCAGTCCTTGTGCTCTCAAGGCAATCTTACTTTACCAACTGAGACAGGTCACAACCTTTCTTTTAACATACCTGGAAACTTAAGCTTGCTAGGCAAGATCCATTCCCTTGGATTTCACTAGGCAGTCCCATTTCCTGTCTATTTGGGAGGCTGATCTGAGTACCACTCATGTAAGTAGGATGCCGAAACACAGGCCAGATGTTCACTCCATCCTCCCTCTCTGATTACCGAGTACCAGCTGGATTTTCTCCTTTGTTTGCCCTTAACATCTATCTTTCTTGCTCTTGTGTCCAATCAGGTAGCCCTAGCTGCAATGCCTCCTTAGTATTGATTACTGAGACTCACCACACCCATCTTTTACTCATAATAAAAAATAATAGCTAATAACAGCAAACCCACTTACACAACACTTACCAAGTCTTCAGTACTGTTGAAGGGTTATGTAAGCTAAATCGTTAACTTAAGCTTTATGTCATCTACCATCAAATAGTCCCATGGGGCTTAATATGTTGGTGACTGATCCCAAATTCAGTTCCACCCTCTTAAGGCTGTTATTTACAAATGGACTATCTTTGCAGATGGGTCCTTACTGGTTTAAGAAAACCAAGACGGTTCTTTGGGGTCAGAGAAGTGACATTTCTGACCAATAACAGATTTTTAGAAAGGCCACAGTTTATGAAAAGACAGGTTGTTCAAGGGGAGTTTTCACTTGTTGCTCTTCACAAAACCACAAAGAAAAGAGAATGTCTTTCTTCCTCAGGTCTTGCTGAGTGTGGAGTCGAGGCCTGGAACTGCTACAGCCCTTTTGCAACCATGAGGAAAGCTAGCTTGAAGATAAAATGCCAAAGGGAACATTAAGCCAAGTGGGACATCAGTCAATTGTGTCTCAAGGCCTGATTCTCCTAAACCTGGAACAGCTGGAACTGTTGTTTTCTTTTCTCCTGTGATGGTTCACTCCCCATTGTTCTAAATTAGCTGATCCCAGATCTCACTACTTGCCAGCAAGAGCATCTTCGATAATACAATTAGCTCATCGTTAAAGAAGCAGACTTTCATCCCAGTCTCTCCAAATCCCCTTCTTAGTCCTGCTGCAGCCTGCCTGCAGGAGCCCCTCCTCCCACCCGGTTTCCATCCCCTGGAGACTTGCTTCTTGGTGCAGACCCAGGGTCCCCCTATCTCTTTTCCCTCTCATCATTCCCATCTCCATTCCTCTGTGTCATCTGCTGGTCTTGCAGAAACATTTTCTACCAGGGATGTCCAATGGCTACAATGGGCTGAGACATGGATCTGAGCCTCACTCAGCCCTTGTCAGAGAAGCTTCTTCTTGCAGTAGATGGTAATTTACAGAGATACCCACAACTGGGCTATGTGCACAGAGGGAGACTTTGGAGCACTCCATCCTAAATGGGATTCTCCATCAAACCTCTCCCCTTAAGTATCTAGGTAGAAGAGGATGTGGAAAGATTGCAAGAGCCTGAGCTAATGGATGACTCTAAAGAAACAGTGTCTTCCAGACACAATAGGGCTGATACACATATGAACTCACAGAGTCTGTGGCAGGATGCACAGGGCCTACATAAGTTCAAGCCAGACTGGGTCCCAGCTCTGAGAGGAGGAAATAGTCCTACCTACCCCTAATCATGAAACTATTGCCCCTAATCATGAAACTATTGCAATTGATACCTGCTGGCAACAGGAAAATCAATTCTCTTTAATAGAGTATCAGCCACACTCCAGGGCAGGCTCCATAATCAGGATGAGTTGGCCAACAGAAAACAAACAATGGTATTTTTGTAGACTTTTAGCTTCATTTTGTTTTGTTTTGGAATATTTTTGTCTTACTGGTCTTTTACTTGCTTGTTTTGATTTTCATTTTTGTGGGGATTGTTTTTTGGTTCTGCTTGTTTTGAAAGATAAAGAACAAAATTACGTGGGTAGGAAAGTGAAAAGGATTTGGGAGGTTCTAGGGAAAGGCATAACATATCAACAAAATATATTGTATGAAAAAATTAATTACAAAATATTCTCTTAAAAAAGCAAGGTGGTGGTGGTGGTGGTGGTGCACACCTTTAATCCCAGCACTTGGGAGTCAGAAGCAAGTAGATCTCTGTGAGTTTGAAGCCAACCTGGTCTACAGAGCAAGTTCCAGGACAGGCAAGGCTACTCTAAGAAAAGCTATCTCAAAAAACAAAACAAAGCTGAAGAAAGAGGACACGTAGCTTATTTAAAATCATACCAGTGTGCCAGTAAGCATGCAGAGATCATGCATACATTAAGGACTGATGTTTGTACGTAAAATTATAAAGGCAGGTAAAGAACAGGATAACCCACCAAACTCACAAATAAGCTAGTTTGGCATACTGGTGTCTCCAGGCTAAAAGCATTTGAAAAACACCCATGGGCATTCTCTAGCTTCGCTTTATGTATGAAAAGACCCAGCCTCCAGAAGGCACACCATTATCCCAAGGGGGTGAAAATTAAGGCAGTTAGCTCTTACCATAAGAGATGAGACTAAAATATGAACCCCAAGGGGGAATTTGTTTGTTCCTCCTGTGATGCTCCATGCATGTAACACATCTGTAAAGTTTTTCTCCTATGAATTTGCATGGTGTGGCTTTACTTAGTAGACCCAATTACTGAACCTCAGAGGAGAGAAGAAAAATCTCCTTTTTACCCAACCAACAACATCTAAGACAAAAATATACATACATACACATCTCATACATACTCTCTCTCTCACACACACACATATAAAGACTTAGATGTGTATTTCATTTTGTTGTGTTTTGTTGTAATCTCTTTTCTAAGAGAAAGGGAGTGGATTCAGATGGGGGGGCAGGATAAGGAGGAACTGGGAAGGGTAGAGGTAGAGAAACTGTAATGAGGCTATATTGTATGAGGAAATAACCCATTTTCAATAAAAGGGGGAGAGACAAAGTCATGTGTCCAACATCTTAGCCCCTGAATAATGAAGCAGCTGTTTAGAGATCTGAAGGAAAGGAAACTACAACACAATCATGGTCCTCTGTCAACCACGGACAACCAGGCACAGCTAAAAGAGACTAGAACCATGGATCAGACCAAGTGCACCTGACAGACATGCAGAACATTTCTTCCAACAGCATCATTAAGAATGGTTTAAGCAAGCTGGGGAGGTGGCTCGATAGCAAATCATTTGCCACAGAAGCATGAGGACCTAGACCCAACATCAAGCCAGTTGTTGTAGTATACATCTGTAATCCAAGTGTTCCACTGGACAAGACGGGAGGAGAGATAGAATCCTCAAGGTGACAGGCCACCTAACCTGGCTTCATAGCAGTGAGTACCAAGAGATCCTATGTAAAGGTAGAAGGCAAGGGCCAACACCTGAGCTTGTCCTCTGACCTTCACACTCACACTACGCTCACATACATGCACACAAATAAAAATTTTTGTCCACATGAAGAAAAGTGAAATTAGACCCTCACACTATTTTCAAATTAAAATCAACTCAAAGTTTGTTACAACCTTAAACGTAAGACCTGGAATTGTGGACTTCAGATGGAGCTCAGTAGTAGAGTGCCCACCTAGTATGTGCAAGATCTAGCACCACAAAAAAACCTACTAGCAGAAAACGTAACGGGAATTTTAAACACTGTACCAGGCACTAATTGGTTTGGTATGTCTCTTAACAGCACAGACAACAGAAGACAGACAACTGGGATTCCATCGAATGAAACAGCTTCCACAGAGCAAAGGGAGGCAATCGACAGCATGAAGAGGTAACTCCCAGGAGGGGAGAGTCTGCAAACCATGCACCTGAAGCAAGGGCAATATTCAAGCTAGGTGATGAGAAAGTAAGACCCGAACAGCCCTCTCTCAGTGGAGAACACAGACATGGGCAATGTATAAGAAAAAATGCTCAATGTCACTACTCATAAGGGGAATGGAATTAAACTAATATGAGAGCTCTCCTCACACTTGGTTGTTACCAAGAAGACAAGAGGCACACACATGCACCAATGAGGAAAAGGGAGCCTGTGTCACTGTTAGGATAGTAACCCAAACTAACTGTGATAGTCACTTGTGGCAACATGATGTACTTAGAGGACAATATGTTAAGTAAAATAAGCCAGGCAGAAAGAGACAAATGCCACGTGATCACAGTCATACTGGAAATATAAAAAAGCAGAATTCACTGAAGCAGACTAAAATGGCAGCTATCAAATATTGAGACTGAGGGTACACTGTTCAACAGACATGAAAATCGGTTAGAAAAGAATGATTTAAAGAGTCTATTGTACACCACAGTGACTGCAATTTATCACAATATATTACACATTTAAAATTTTCAGAAAGAGGCCAGGCATAGTAGTGCACACTGTTAACCCCAGCACTCAGGAGACAGAGGCAGGTAGATCTCGGAGTCTGAGGCCAGCCTGGTCTATAGAATGAGTTCCAAGACAGCCAGGGCTACACAGAGAAACCCTGTCTTGGAAAAAAAAATCAAACCAAATTGCAGAGAATAGGTTTTAAATGTTCTCACCACAAAAAAAAGAATGTGAGGCAATATATATTAATTACTGATTTAGATATTATATAATATATACATATAGATGAAGATAAGTTGTAAACAATAAATATAAATTTTAGTAGTCAATTCAGTTGCAAGGCCATCTACTAGCAGACTACGAACCCAAACAATTCTATATAGCATGTGGCAAAGTCATGGCTATCATTAAAACCATTGTACATCTAAGGGCTTCTGTCTGCTTACAGGGAAAATGTCATGGCTAACTACTATATAAGCTAAAACATTACAGAATTTTGAAGGGCAGAATAGTAGTTTTCCACACACTGTCTGGTGTGGTGGTTCATTAATGTAATTGCAATGCTCAGGAGGCTGAGGCAAGAACATCATGCATATGAGGTCAGCCTGGGCTTCATAGCAGGATGCTGTCGTCCCCCCCCAAAAAATAACCAAAGGTGGGGTGGAGGAAGGGAGATATAAAGGCAGGAAACAGAAAGGAGAGAAGAGAGGCAAGTAGAATGAAATAGACAAAATTGCTATCCTAACAGAGTACTGCCCCAGTCATTTGTTTCACAAGGGTAAATGGAGAAGGCAGCAGCTGTACAGAAAGGTACACCCAAATGGGAGAAGGTCTAAATGATGGAAACAGACCATGAACCAGACTAGGAATACCACTGGTACAGGTCCTAAGTGCTCCGAGATACATGTGAGAGTCAACTATGCTCTTCCAATATGGAGGCCTCCAATTTGACTAGGGCAGGGACGGTTCCCAGAGTCGCACCATAGTAATGACAAGGAGTAAGTTCCCCCTTGTTCACTATACATGTTTCTCAGTTTCTAGTTGGCTTAGGCTTTCAGGGGGCCCTGACCAAGGTCTCATATCCTCAAGGCCTATTACCCTCTAGCTCTAGCCCACCCTACCCCCAAGTTGTGAGATGCAAAAGACACTAGAGTACAAAATCTCTGTGACCATGAATGGGTAAATGGGGATTATGGCCTCTGTGGCAGGAGAGGCTGAGGAAAAAACATCAGAGTTACCCAGAAACTAGGCAGCATTTCAGAAAGATGACCAAGTGTGATTAATGGCCCCTTTAGTGGTAGTAGATAAGGGGTGATGGTCAGAGCATCACCCAAAATAGCCAAGCCACCACAATGAAGAGCTCATCCCAGGCCAACAATATGGCTTAAAAAAAGGTGCTTGCTGCCAAGCTGATGAACTGAGTCCAACCCCCAGGATCCACTTGGTAGAAAGATCTCTACACACACACATCATGGCATGTGACCCCATGCTCACCCCCACCCCACTAAATAAAAAAGTAAATGTAAAAACTGCATCTTTTTTTTAAAGCTCATCCCATTAAGAACACAGGACCAAAATCATAAGCTTCCTGTCTGGAGTTTTCATTTATAATACCGGCTCTTTCTGAACCCGGTCCAGCTGGTTGGCGTGTCCCGAGCAAAGCATAACTCACAGAGCAGAACACAGGTCAGAGGTTTCCACTGCCCTGCTGGCAGGAGCTGCCCACATTCCTTCCCTCCTGTTTTTGCTCTTAAAATGTTTTTTTCACTGTTGTTATCTCCAGGAGCAGAGGGAATGGAACCAACTGAAGGTAGGCTAATGTAGTGGAATGTGGAAATCATACATGTGGCTGTTTTCTCCACCTAAATTCAAGCTCACACCACCCATGAAAAGGCAGGGGATGGGTGAGGTGGCATGGAAAGAGAATTACTCCCCAAGGGGAACATGAGGTACTGGGAAGCTGAGGGTGTGGAGCAGAGGACTGGTAGAGTTCAGGGTATGAGTCATAGTAGAGACAGGAGCTGAGCTCCCATTCAAGAAGACCCAGATGAGGCAGTACCCCCAGGCCAACATGGCACCCCATCCTTCTACAGAGAAAGAAGGGATGGGAGAATTAGGTTCTTCCCAATACAGAGAATAAACAAAGTGATTTGTAACTGTTCTCCATGGCAGCCCAGGAAAGTCCATGCATGTCATATACAATGCTTTGCTTCCACCCTCCTTGTCCCAGATGTCCATCACAAGTTCCAATGAGAACACTCTCTTGCCTGCTGCTGAAACGGTAGGGCTAACCTTAGGGAATGAGATCTGATTTCTGCCCGGCATGTGCCCCTTCAATGCATTGGTATCAGAGTGAGTACAGCTCCATTGTGTCCTCTCCACTTCCTGTGCATAAGGAAGCCTCTTGGAGGCTGACACTAGGTAAGGGATAGAAGAAGAGGATGGCTTAGTAGAGTGGAGGCAGAATAACAATAAATGTCCACAATGGGTAAATAAAGAAAATGTGGTCTGTATATACCACAATTAGTCAGCCTTTACAAAAGGACATCTTGTCACCTGTTATACAAGCATGGATCTTGCAGACATTATGCAAAGTAACATAAGTCAATCACAAAAGACAAAGACTCGGTTGGTGAGCTGGCTCATCAGAAAAAGACGCTTGCTGCCAAGATTAAGGACCCGAGTTTGGTCCCCAAAATTCACATACCATCTCATGAAGTCACAAACCTCTTAGAAACAGTGTTTCATCCTTACATGTCATGAAACAAATGAGCCTGAGGTGCCTGAGATGGAGGAATTTCCAGAAGTTGAAATCTGGCAAGTCTGGGTATAATCTCAGAGGGGAGGGGGAACCAAAAAGAGTCACTGCCACCTTAAGCAATGAAAATAAAGCAACTTCCTCTTGGATTAGTTTGACCAAAAGCAAACACATATTTAAATTCTCCATTTCTCTCCCTGTCTCTCTGCCTACTGGCCTGTCTATCTCCATTGTTTCTAAACTGTCTGTCCCTGATGCCTGGAGTGTTCACCTGTGTGTGTGTGGTTCCTGCACCTAACAAAGAGCTTTGCTCTGTATTTCTTGAACAACACAGAAAACACGGGGTGGAAAAGAAATAAGGATACTTATAAATCTTTCAGAGAGTTTTATGAGGAAAGTACTTACTTTGCTGACCTGGAACAGCAAACAAAACCACAATCAGATGCTACCATCCTATATCACACGTTAAGTCCACCATATACAGAATCGTTGCTCTATACTGTGTCTTTTAACCTGGTCACTGTTTCAGCAAGTATCAACACACACAATTCTGACAAGGGCATTGGAGAGTACATAATTTAAGATGAAAGGTATACATTTAGCTTAGGTTATAAAAGCAGACCACATGGGAAATATACAGCATAGTAAGGTTCATTACATTGTTCTCTGAAAGGCAGGCTGAACTTAAACATGAGAAGTTCACAGTCTTAAGTAACTTCCAGGCATGTTATGAACTTAGCTGCAAAGTTCAGTCTTTTTAGAGTCAAGAGAGATTTTCAAGAAACTATCACCACAGACAAAACATCCTTGGGGGCTCTTCTTCCATTCCTGTTGGGGAGGGGGCAGGGTGTCCTCTGGATAGTCCCTTTCCTAAGTTTATATTAGGGTTGTGAGTTTAGATCAAAACAGCCATCCTTTCTTCCCAAGCCCCCCCTGATCCAACAGCAAGCAGGGGCTACTCCTTTCAATAAACATTCTCCCAACAGGGTCTTCTCAGCTCTCTCCATCTCAGAGGACTTAAGGAAGGTGCACTTGCCATGCATCACACCCAACCCCCACCCTCCCCAAAAGCACACCTTACATGAAAATGAGCCGAGGCTCATCTCCAGGCTTGTCCCAAGCCCAAGCTCTGCATGGGCAGAACATTCTAGAGTTCTGCTCAGCCTAACTCTACCTGCCAGACATTAATTTAGCCTCATGAGTTTCAGAAGTCCTCTAGAAAAGAGGAAATTCAAAAGCAGAAATCAATCCACCCCTGCTGATTTTCCAACTAGATGAGGGGCAGACGAATCAACATGGAGCCAGCCAATCCTCCTACCATCTCAGAACTAGTAAGCTCCCTTTCCCACAGATGGGCAAGCTTGCAGAAGTGGCTCTCAATAGTCTAGTGTCCAGCAGCCAGGAATCAAGTGGACGAATCTCACTAACCATTTTTCTTATCACACATTAGCATGGAAGTTCTCCCCAGAAGCGTATGCAATTAACTAGTAATTTTTACAGAAAGAACCCAATGCATATAGCATTGACCATCCTTCAGCCATGCTAACAAGAGTGAACTAATCCACTCCCATCTGTAGGTGTTAAAATCCAGTCTCCCCTGGTTTCAATGAGTTGGAGCTAGCCAGGCTAGGAATCAGGTCATAGCTCAGGCTCCCAAAGTCTCCAGTCCCTCAGTCCATGACACTGTCTTCAGAACAGGAGTAGCCCATCCCAACAGTAACATTTTTGTATTTTGTCTCTTAACTTGTGTGACTCCTGGATCAGAACCCAGATACTTGGGCAATGTCAGCCCTGCTCACAACTGGAGCTGAGCACAGCAGCCCAGGTCTGGCAGGAAGCAACCTGTGCATCTCTGAGCATCTGGCTCCTGCAGTATTTGTCCTTGAATAGGTAGGTGGCGGGGGTTGGGGGGCGGCATCAGACCCAAGGAAGGTTGGCTTGTGGGCAGATAATCCAAAGAACAGCAAGAATGAACCACAGCAGATTTTCAGGAGCTGGGTGGGAATTGAGTGTTGGCTCACTCATTCACAGAGCATTTTCTGAGCACTTAGTGTGTGCAAGTCTCATGGGGAACAACTATGAGGAAGAAATGTTCTTTTCTTTCAAAGGGCACAGTGCTGGGGCTGGCAAGACGGCTCTGCAGGTAAAGGAACTTGGCACTAAGCCCAATGACCTGAGTTTGATCCAGAACCCACACAGTGGAAGGAGAGAACTGAGTCCCACAAATTGTCCTAGCACATGCATACACAAATTAAATGTAATAAAGTCTCTTACAAGGAGCACTGGAGTCATGGAAGAGTGTGTGGGCTGGCAAAGGAAGGGGCTGATATGAGGAATGGGATGGTCCAGAATTCTAAGACACAGGAGGACAGCATCTTGTGGAGTGTGTTTTCTACATCTGGCCCCTGGGCTTACTTTCATTCATCGCATTACAACACAAATAGATGAAAACAGACACATGGGCCTGTACAGAGTCCTCTCTCATATGCACAATAAGCCAACCCTTGCTGAAAACAAGATAGACGGGAGGGGATGAATCAGTGGCACACACAGGATGCTTAGGGCAGAGGGACTGTTCTGAAAGACACAGTAAGTGCAGATACATGCCATTCTATACTTGCCCCCCACAAAACATAGCACCAAACACAGACCCTAATGTAAGGGACTGAGCCTGAGTGATAATGGTATGTGTGAGTGTAAGTTAACAGATCCTTAAACCAATGTCTCACCCTGGTGGGATGTTAACGGTCAGGGAGGAGGGCATATGTAAAGACAGGAGGTACATGGGAGTTGCCTGCATCTCTATTCCATTTTGCCGTGCCATAATCAACAAAATTTATTTTTTAGTATGGTTGGTGTGTGTGTGTGTGTGTGTGTGTGTGTGTGTGTGTGTGCCTATGAGCATGTGCAGATGCTTGTGGAAGGTAGAAATCAATGTCTGATGTTTTCCCTAATTGCTCTTCAGTTTTGTTGTGTTAGAGGAAAACTCTGACTCCCCCTCACCCGGAAATCCCTGAACCTGAAACTCATTGATTTGGCTAAATTGGTGAGCCTCAGGGATCTTCTTGTCTCCACCTCCTCAGCCATGGGATTACAAGAGCACACAGTACCACACACGGCTTTGTCTGTGAGCCATTGAGTTCTTGTCAGGTTCTGAAGGGAGCAGGCAGATGCACCTTGGCCTAAGTGCTGCCATTTTACTTCACACTCCATTTTACCTGTGTGATATAAAGTTCAGGCTCCCAAGACCTAGGGCAGCAGAGAACTTTCCAATGGCTGACCCACCTCCTCCCTAAACTGAAGAAATAGTCCTTATGTATCTTTGGTTCTCTAGAAACATTGTGGCTGTTCCTAACAACAGAAAGAACAAATGACTCTCATTGGTTGGGCTGAAAGGCTTGCATTGAATGTCAGTTGACAATGATAGAACATACAAGGATGGTCCCTCATCTTTGATTCCTGGTTAGTGAAAATTGTAACTGTAACTTAGCAACAAATATATTGTGATATTCATGCTTATAAACCCCACTTCTGCCCCTTCTTGGGGCTGTCAGGAGAAGCAAGGCTCCTGAGTCCCTGTCCTGCAGCCCTGATCAATCAGTGGCCACTTATAAAGTGAATTATTAAAAATCCTTGGAGCTCATAAGTGTCGTGTCCCTTCCCTGTGGTGCACCAACAGGCTAGGTGTAACAGTTCCATGGTCAGCACACCAAAAAGCCCTTGACGTAACCTTCTCTCAAACCCCAAATCCACCCCCCTTTTTGAAATAAGGTCTACGTGGTCCAGGCTAGCCTCAAATTGTTATGTAGCCAAGGATGACCTTGAATTTCTGGACCTGCCAAGTGCTGGTCACATAGCACCATCATCAGTTTATGCAGCTTTGGGAATCAAACCCAAGAGCTTCAGTCATGCTAGCAAACTCTCTGCCCATCAAGATACAGCCTCAGCCCCCAATCTATTGTTTACAAAACCACCTATCCCACTCAACACAGAGTGAGTAAGAGGTGTGGGCTCTGAGTCAGCCCACTCACCCATACTCACCCACCAAAGCATCTCCACAGCAGCCATCACCCCCGTGCTCTGACCTGGACAAAGAATCTCTCACACCAGCACAGGCCATTGTACAATGGGACAGGCTTTTGAGTCCTATGCTTACTATCAGCTGGGTCCACGCTTTGAAGAGGCATCCACTCAGAAGTTCAAATTCTGCCATCAGCAAGTTCTATCCTATTCTTCAGTGGTAGACAAGTGGTCCATAAGGCCACAAGGCAGGCCATTTGGTACTCACCAAACCCGAGAGCTCTCTTCCTCCCATGGGCCACTTCCTCTTCTGTACATCAGGGTCTGTGTGAAGCTCTGTATGGAAATCTCACTTAGGTCTCAAAACTTAGGAAAGGGCTCATTCTTGTAGCCGATATCTAAGGTTAAGGCTCAGTGAAACTGAAGGACTTGATCACATTTGCTGAGTGCATAAAGAACAGAGGTAAGATGCCACAGGTCTGTCCCAGTCTTAAAAACTCAAGATGTCATCCACCTTGAAAGAATAAGGAGCTATGGCTTCTGAATGTTCCTTGGTGTCCCTGATGCTCACTGACACTGGTATACATAAAGGTCTCTTCATAATTTTTATTGTATGTGTGTGTGTGTGTGTGCAGGTGTGTGCTTGTGGGGGGGGGGGTACATACATGCCACAGCATGCATGTGAAGGTCAGATGACAAGTTGTCAGAATCTGTTCTCTAATTCCACCATGGGAATCCAGATCAGATCATCAGGCCATCTTGCCAGCCAGCCATACAGATCTTAAAGGAAGAGGACAAACGTCCACCACTGGACCTAGGCACTGATTGTAATACTGGCAATCAGAGCATCTAAAACCACCACTTCCATCAGCAACTCCCTGCAGAAGGTGCTACACCCCAGGCAATAGAGAAATTGGTTTGCTACATAGATTGTCTAGAGGCTAAAGAAGTGACCTCCACAGAGAGTTTCAATTAATTAGTGTTTCTTATAACATAAATAAATACCAGGCCCCTCTGGGCCTCTCCAGTAAGACTTCATGGGCAGTTTTTAAACACTGGACAATGTATTGCTGCCTCCATCATCAGTGTTAATATTTCATCATAAACGGATATGCATGAAGTGCCTATTGTCCATCAGCAGAATTGGCTGTAAAAAGATAAAAGTCTTGTTCATTAGCCACTGCAGATAAATACTCACTGGGGTCATGCCTGCAATAAATATGGGTTTAATCTTCTTCTGGAGTCACAGTGCAGATGAGCAAGTTAGGACCTGGGCTTGTGCATAGTAGGATCTGGATGGTATCAACCATGTGGTTTAAGGAACTCAATATATCATCCACACACAAGTCATTCCCCAACTCTTGCCTAAAATGTGCATTCCACTCATTTCAAGATGAAAGGTTCAAGGTTTTAAAATTATATTCAGGGAAGTAATGATTTTTTTTACTACTGCTCTTTATCACATTCCTTGAATTATTCTATACAACTGGCTGTGTGGCAAAGCCTTGCATAATTTAACAATGAGGATGAGGTAGTGAAAGAATAGAGAGAAACTGTAAGGCCTGGCCGGGGTTGGGGTGGCGAGTAGGGTGTCTTAGTTAGTGTTCTGTTGCTGTGAAGAGACTCCAGGGGCTGGCTTACAGTTTCAGAGGTTTAGTCCATTATCACCATTGTGGAAGCATGGCAGCACAGGGCAGACATAGTGCCAGAGAAGTAGCTTGAGGGTCCTACATCCAGATCCACAGACAGCAGGCAGAGAGAAACACTGGGCCTAGCTGGAGCATTTGAAAACCCCAAAGCCTGCCCCCAGTGACGCCCCCTCCAACATGGCTACACTACTCCAACAAGGCCACACACCTAATCCCTGTCATGTAGCACACTCCCTGATGACCAAGCCTTCAAATATATGAGCCTATGTGGCCATTCCTAGTCAAACCACCACAGGGGAAATGGGGGGAGCAGAAAATACTAGTGAGGAAGGAGAGAAAGTCAGTGGGCAGAAAGGAAGGAAGCTGAGAGCTGGGCCAAGCAACCCAGGTTCTGTAGAAAGGGAAAGAATGAATAGAGGGATAGAGGGAAGGAGGAAGGGATGGAGGGAATCAAGAAGTCTCATGGTACTTGATCTCTGGGCCCACCACAGCCATTTTCCTGAAAACTAGGAACCTATCCTTGTTTTCCACTCTCTCTCCAGCCTCAGGGCCAGGGCAGCGAAGGGAGACCTTTTCCTAGAGCAGACAGAAACAACTTAGCACATCTATAGTCCCCATCGTGTCTTGCACCATTTCAGGTGTACTTTGGTTCACTGCAGTTTGTTTCATTTCTCTTTGTTATCTGAATATAGACATGTACATATATGTGCTTGTTCATGTGTGTGCAGGTGGGGAGGGGGGCAAGGGGCAATGTGGGCTGTCCTCAGGTGCCATACCCCTTGTTGCTTGTTTGTTTTGAGAGACGGTGTCACACTGAGCTGGAGCTCACAAAGTAGGCTGGGTTTCTGGCCATTGGGCCCCAGGGAGTCACCTGTCTCTGCCTCCCCAGCACTCAGCTTACAACTATGTATTACCACAACTGGCCTTCTCTTATGTGGCTCCTGGAGTTCAAACTCGGATCGTCTGGGTTGTGCTGTAAGTGCTTTGTCCAGTGACTTTCAACATGACAATTTTGCTTGATTACAAAGCTATGGCAAAAACAAACAACAAAAACCCTTTGCACTTTTGAAACACCATGTCAGTCACTGTGGGTACTGCTCATAATCAACACAACTGGACCACACGCTAACAGTGTAGCTATGGAGTGGTTCATTATCTTAATCCTACCTGTCTACCTTCTCTGGCCTTCTTTCTCATTGTCTCTCTCCTCAGGAAATCCTTTTCTGATGTTGTATTAGAGAGTTGGGACAGACAGCCTTCTGTCCCTGGCAGTCTTCGTCCCACATCTGCAAAATTAACAGACTGGCCTCAAGAGTTCCAGGTCATCACTGGAGCCCTGAGTCCCTGGAACATGCCTGCCAATAGCATCTAGGCTTTGTTTAGCTCCCCAGGGGGGATGCATGCTTCTGCCGGGTGTCACAGCTGATTTAACTAAAAGCAAGATGAGACACAGCCAGGGGATCTGAAGCCTGGCAGCATCCCAGAGAGTCTAGCCAACCAGAGCCAAGACTGCCTGGGGGGACAGAAGGCAATCTCCCTGAGCACCGCGGTTCACAGACAGCATTTGTAACCACTGTCATCCAGATACCTCAGAAATGTCCCTGCAGGCCTATGATACAAACAGTGTATGCTGGGAAAGCAGAATGCTGAAGTTAACCCCTGGGAAAGATGGTGTCAGCTCAAAAAGCCTCCAAGGAGGAAGAGGACCTGGAAGAAAGATAAAACCAGGACTTTGATCCAGAGAGGTGGCTCAGTGGGATACACATACTTGCTACCGGCAATGGAAGCCTGGAGACCCTAACTTGAAACCTGAAACCCATAAGATAGCAGGAGACAAGTGACACCACAGAGTTGTCCTCTGACCTCCACTTACACAATAGTAATAATTGTTTTTTTTTTTTTAAGAATTTAAAAAGTTCCTTGGTGCTGGAGAGATGACTCAGTTTATGGTTGAGAGTGTGGATTACTCTTCCAGAAGACAAGAGTTGGGTTTCCAGCATCCACAGAGTAGCCTTGGCTCTCGCTGGAGCCTGGAACTCCAGCTGCAAGCCATGCCACACCTTCTTCTGGCTTCATTGGACATCTGCACTCATGTGCACACACAGAGAGAGCCGTGTGTGTGTGTGTGTGTGTGTGTGTGTGTGTGTGTGTGTGTGTGTGTGTTTGTGTGTGTTGGGGTCAACTTGACACAAATCTATACATATT